AGGATGGAATTCCTTCAGAATTTGTGGGTGTGAAAATTAGAACTAAACTGTGTAACCCTTACCTACCACAGGTGTCTAGTAACTTTATTCTTTTCTGTGGCTCAAGATACCCGACTGCTGAACACTTCCTGGAAGAATATTTGGAAAATCCTTGTTTTCCCACTTACATGTTTCAGTTGTCTTACTTTCTTTTTTTTCCCCTGAAGCCCAGCAGGCAGTTAGGACTGAGTTAACTTGGATTCTCACGGAAAGGAAGGGGCTCTGGTTTGACTGTGACCCTAACAGGCATCTGAGAACAAATTAAATCTTGACATCAGCTAAAAAGAAAAGGATACTGATCCAGAGTTCTAAGAGCTTCAGGGTGAGCATGATGGGGTCCTTTGTTCATGATGTCAGTCCTAAGAGGGTGAGGGCTCTGAGCCTTGTGCGCTAGGCCACGCCCAGCTGTCTTCTCTGGAGGCGTCCCTGAGAGCTACTTGGGATCCCGCAGGAGGTACGCATCCAGGGGAGAGGGTTCAAGCACACGACGTTCCTGCTCAGAACAAATCAGGCCAACTGGGAGTTTATGACCTGAACAACAAAATCTCATGACGAGGAGGGACACCGGTGTTCAGCTGCAAGCGGAGTCCACAGAATGGAACTAGGTCCAAATCCTGGCTCTACCCTGTGCCAGCTGCGTGACCTTGAGCAAAACTCTGAAGCCCTCTGTGCTTTATTTGGCACATCTGTAAAACAAGGATAATAACAGATCCTTCTTAGTAGAGTTTTTGTGAGGATTAAATGAGAAAATACTGATGGGAGCCTTCACGTGGTACTTCACCCAGGAAGCCTCAAATACGATTTCTGATTCAGTTACATGGACGAATCCCCTTCATGACATTCTAAGAAATGGTGCGGATCTTCCTGATAAGTGACAAATGACAAGACGGGAGTATGATCCCAAGAGAGTGAGAAAGAAGGAAGGGGCTGATAAATTTTTCTTTGTAGTCTTTTTAATTGAAGTCTAGTCAGTTTACAATGTTGTGTCCATTTCTGGTGAACAGCATAATGCATCAGTCATACATGTACGCACATACACTCGTTTTCATATTCTTTGTCATTATAGGTTGCTACAAGATAATGAATATTGGTCCCTGTGCCACATAGCAGAAACTTGTTGCTGATGTTTTTTAACATGGCACATTCCAGCCTATCAGGCCTCCTTAACCCACAGCATCAGAGGGACCCCCATTCACTCTCTCAGCCCGTTATGTAGGGATCACTGTTTAGGCATCTGTCTCAGGGCAGGGACTTTGTCCCACCACCCCCCCGAGCCCAGTGCCTAGAATGTCCCCAGTAAACATATGTTGAGCTGACCTACTCATCGTGTCTTCCCTTTACTGTGGCAGAGTAGTCTCTAAACGTGGGAAAACAAACAATGACTAAGGAATGCAGATGAGGGAACGTTCTTCCTCCTTCCTTGGTACCGCCAAAGCCCCCAAGCCGTGCATCTCCAAGCCATTCCTTGCCCGTCTCCGCTCAGGCTGGCAGACTGTCAGTTAGGCAGACCCCTTTCTGAGTTTCCCAGAATGGAGTGTAGCCCTCCTCCTCTGTCTTTCCAGAGGACTTCATAAATGCTCAATTCTTTCTCTCATCCTCAAGATTCTAAGGAAACCAAAAAAAAAAAAAAAACAACTTTCTTCCAAAAATGGGGCAGATGCCTGAGTGAGGCATTGCTAAGAGCTCTGTACCAGATATAAATCTCTACGGCTTTTCTATAATTGCCAACTTAATGATACATAAAATTCACCATTTCAAGTGAGAAAAGTGGTTTTGAAAGTCTTTGACTCTTACTTACAAGGTAAAATATATATTATATAAAAAGCATAATGTGACAACAGATACAATGGGAGTTAATAATTATTATTACTCACTCCTACGTGGTTTTTCACTTTTCCTCTTGCCCTGGCAAGCGAGAGCTTTCCTCTCCCTCACACAAACCTCCCTCGGAAACTTGGTGTTTGCACACTGCCAAGCAATACCCCACAACCCGACCTGAAATTCGGTAGGAGCCTTGGAGAGAAACAGCACCAAAGCACGAGAGTCGTGATTATCTTAAGAAGCAAAGCAAATCCCCACCTAAGTATTAAGCTGCCTCACCCTTTACCTGAGAGCCACCCTCTGAGAACATGGAGAGATTCTGAAGGGACATCTGCAGCTTGGTAGCCTGGTGTTGCTCACAGCTGAGAATGGATGCAGCCAAGTCTGACAATCCTGGACCCTCTGCGGCAACGCTTGGTCAAAACTCACCTCTGCACCACTGCCCAGGTTTCCTCATCAGGACACTTTCTCACAGAAATATAAAAAATCAAGGAGATGGTGGGGAGGGTATAGCTCAGTGGTAGAGTGCATGCTTAGCATCCACAAGGTCCTGAGTTCAATCCCTAGTGTCTCCATTAAATAAATAAGGAAATAAATAAACCTAATTACCTCCCCCTCAAAAACAAAAACAAGGAGAAAGAAAAAAATATTAAGAGGAGATTAGCATGAAACCTTTTTTATAAAGTTTTTTTGTGGGGGCAGGGGTGGATTTATTTGTTTGTTTGTAATGGACCCAGGACCTCATGCATGATGCTAAGCACGTGCTCTACCACTGAGTATACCTCCCCGCTAGCACGAAGCCTTTGATGATTTTGTTCAAATCTGCCATTGATTCGTGTTTTCATTATCTACTGCTGTGTATGAAACCAGCCCGAACTTAGTCGCATAAAGCAGCAACAAGTGTCATTAGGAAGACGAGGAGGAGGAGGAGAAAAGGAAGCCCATCTCTCTGGTTTCCAGGGGTTGACTGGAGTCAGCCAGGCAGTTCTCACTTAGGGTCTGTCCTGAGGTGCCGTCAGAGAGGACAGGGGCTGGGCTCTCCCTGACCTGATTTACTTTCGTTGTGTTAAAATCCCCCTAGAACCTGTAAACATGGCTCACGGAGTCAAACGGATGATGATAAGAAAAAGAGGACAACAGGAAAATGGAGAACAAAGAGGAGGTAGAAAAGGTGGAGGAGAAAGAGAAGAAGAAAGCAAAGGAGGAGAGACTTCCTATAGCAAGCCGATGGCCCACAACCTTGCATCTCAGGACTTGTGCCTCATCATGAACCAGCATGACACATACTCTGGACAAGGGGTTGCTATTACCGCAGTATCTCAAGAAGCAAAAGAAGCCAGGCTAAAAGTCTTTGAATTAACAACCTGCAAACACAGCACCGCACAAACACAGGACACAAACGTACTGTTTTCACAACTAATCCATGTGATAATTAAAGCAATCACATCTTTGATACCTATCTGTGTAAACTACGGCGAGCAATTTTGCCTGAGCATGAATAACCTCATCGCTACAAAAGAGCACTCGATTCAATGAGAGTTATCCGGTTCTGAAAAGAGTTCTGTATTCTGTGAATTACCATGAAAAATAAATATTTCCTTTTTTCAGCTCTTTTGAAAAAAATTTCACAGTTAAAAACCCTTTCCCTCTTGATCTATTTTGATACACATATTTATATCATATGCATTTATAGTTCTTATGTTATTTTAATTCAAATATGCCCCCAAAGCCTATTTCTTTGGCACATTTCTAATCTCCAAAAGCCCCTGCCTTGTAGACACAAGACAGATTTCTTTCAAAATAGCATCAGCGTTGTTTGAAATTTACAAAAGTAAACAGTTGAATGAACAAATGCTAAAGTCTTTATTTGATTCTAACGTCTTTCTGTGATGTCTGTATGAAACTTTCTAAATGACCTGCGCCAAAGGTTACTGACCCTACAGGTAGGCTTAATCCTGTCCTTAAGAGCAGCTGTCATTACAGGAAGCAGGGGTTCTGGGCTCCCAGGCAGTGCTGGGCCCCCATGAAGCACTTGCTAATTAGGTGCTGACAGAGATGCCTCCTCACCCTCTCTCTTATTCACTCAACAAGGAAGTGGTTATAGCAGGTTTCCTGACTCAGCTATGACTTGGCTGAGGAATTCTCATCACTAAAGGGGCTTTAGCTGGAAGTTTTTACGTAAAATCATACTAAGAATTCATCCAAAGAACCATTGTTCATGATTTTTTTTCCTTGCTATCAACAAAGATTGGCAGTCAAAATTTAGGAGATTGAATTTAGTGCTTGACCTTGGATTTTTCTGGATACTCTTGTACACAAAGAAAAGAAAATCATTTCTAAGGTGCTTTCAAAACATAACTGGCAGCACCAAATTACATTCAATTACCCAAAGAAGTAATCAGCATACCAAGAACAAAAACGCAAATGATTTCAAGTCTATGGATCTACAGTAGCCTAGAATGTGGCCACTGAAATAAACAAGTAGCTTTACCAAGGGTGCCCAGGTTTTTGGTTAAAAATGGGAGTGACTTGTCTGCTCTTGGAAACAAACCAAACATTAAAGATGTATTTAATGCATCTTTAAAACTAGAACTGCATCATAATTTTGAAACATATTCAAGGAAGAAGGTCTGCAAAAAGCAGCAAAAACTCAATCGGTCAAGCCAAGGGAGGTGTGGTGGGGGCTGCTATGTCCTCACAGGGCTCCTTTCCTTTTCCTGCTCGCTCACAGCGGAGTACGTTTCCCAGCCTCCCTTGCAGCTAGCTTCGGCATGCTGCTGGGTTTTGACTCATGAGAGTGAAAGGGAATGGGCTACTTTGAATGAAGTATTTAAAAAGAGGGTGTGCCTTCTCTCTTTTTCCCCCCACAGCCAGGATGCAGAGGCTTGGGAACCAAGGGGAGGAGGCAGAAATGGCCACTTTCAATTTTTTACCTGATTACTTCCTGGGGAAAATTTATTTTCCCTTCCAAATCTTGGTAGTCCTAATACTCAAAGGAGAAATTCTTCTACTAGGGAATATAGTTTGGGTTCCTTTACATCAAAGGCTGAGATTATTCAACGGCACGTTTGTTCCAACAAGCAAAGGAGAGGGTCTCTGTACTGACCAGCTGACAGGAAGACATTGAATGCTGTGACTTAACAGATGTAAGAAGCACTGCTTCTCGAACCCAGGAGGTTGGTGGGTGCCTCTTAACAATTCTTGGCCCAATACTTCTGGTCAATGGAAAACTGAGACAATACAATAAAGACAAAACAACTAAGGTCTCAGATTCCACATGACTGAAGGTTTGAGTCATCCCACCATGTAAAGAACCCTACACAGCCAAGAGGCTGCAAGAAAGCAGGGGAAATGGAGCATGGATGCTCTTCAACCTTTCATTGCTCTGCTCTGCCGCCACTGCCTTCTGCCTTTGGACCTTTGCACATGCTGGCTTATGGCAAGAGCTGTTAATGCTCACTAAGTATCCATGTGCTCCTCTGCATTGAGTTACCAGTATCCCACATAATTTAACTTTGTGAACATGCTATACAATTAAGTACCATCTTTTTCAAATTTTTACCCCATTATTCTTTAAATAAGGTCAATTTTCTGTATCAACAAGTTAAATTTTAAAATAAAACCACAAAATCATCTCAATGGTAACTTTAGGGTAAAAAAACCTTAAAAATGTTTATGCCTTTTGACTTAATCTACCTCTAGGAGTTTATGGAATCTATGGAAATTATAAAGACCAAAAAATGTTCACACCAAGGTATTCATTGTAGTATTAAATGTAACTGTCAAAACTGGAAACAACTTAAGCACTGACCAATAGATAAAAGTTAATTAAATTGTGGAAATTTCATAAGACAGAATATTATATAGTTGGTAGAAGTATATTTGCAAAGAAATATTAATGAAGTGGAGGAAATGGTTATACTAAAATAAGTGAAACACCATATACAATAGAGTCTGTATTAGATGAAACTTTCTAAAATCAAACTCTACTTGTTTGTATTTTTTGTTTTCAGTGAGTGCTGTAGTCTGAAAATTTGTGTGTCCCCACAAAATTCATGGGTTGAAACCCTTTTTTTTTTTATTGAAGTATAGTCAGTTACAATGTGCCGATTTCTGCTGTACAGAATAATATTTCAGTAATACATATATATACGTATTCATCTTCATATTCTTTTTCATTATAGTTTTCCATGAGATACTGAATTTAGTTCCCTGTGCTATACAGAGGAAATGTGGGGTTTTTTTGGGTTTTTTTGGGTTTTTTTTTCATATTTGAATGGAACAAA